TGTTGAAATCGGTCCATATTTATATATAGCTCCCATATATAGTTTCGTCCGATTTTATGTAAATGGTGCACCAAACTCCCAATAATGGTCCGATTTAAACAATGAATTCAGTCCAGTTTGACATCTATGATGTTTTTCTTGAAATCGGTCCATATTTAGATATAGCTCCCATATATATTTCCGTCCGATTTTAGGACAATGGTTCACAAAACTCTCAATATTTGTCCGATTGAGACAAAATTTTGCACAGCATACTGAGTTAAGTCCAGTTTGATGTGTGTGAAGTTTTGTTGAAATTGGTTCAGATTTACATATATCTCCCATACAAGGGTATCATATAGTCGGCCCCGTCCAATTATTATATCGAAAATTCCTGAACCCAAGTTTCTATGAATTTTTTTATAATTTTTTTTTTATAAAAATTTGGACTCAGGTCTTGACCTGAGGGTCTGTGAACTTTTTAATAGAAACAACTTGGACCCAAATGTCTGGGCATTTTTTCTATAGAAAAAGCTTGGCTTCAAGTTTCCATGCATTTTTCAATAGAAAACACTTGGACCCAAGGGTCCGTACTTTTTTTCTAAAGAAAAAACTTGGTCCCAAGGGCCTGTGAATTTTTTTTATTTAGAAAAAACTTGGACTCAAAGGCTTGTGAATTTTTTTCTATAGGAAAAAAAATGGAACCAAGGGTCTATGAATTTGTTCCTATAGAAAAAACTTTGACCCAAGGGTCTGTATTTTTTTCCCTATAGCTAAAACTTGAACCCAATGGTCTGTGTTTAAAAAAAGCTTTGACCCAAGGGTCTGTGAATTTTTTTCTATAGATAAAAATGGACCCAAGGCTCTGTGAATTTTTTTTTATACAGAAAACATTTGGATCTAAGAGTCCGTAAATTATATTATATATATAAAAACTCAGACCAAAAGCGTACGTGCATTTTTTTCTATATGAAAAGCTTGGACCCAAAGCTCTGTGAATTTTTTTCTATAAGAAAACCTTGAACCCAAGGCTCTGTGAATTTTTTTCTATAGAAAACACTTGGGCCAACCCTTTGGTGATTTTTTTGTATAGGAACAAATTGGATACAGGTTTCTGTGAATTTTTTCTTATAGAAAAAACTTAGAACCAGGGATCTGTGATTTTTTCTATAAAAAAATTTGGAACGAATGGTCTGTAAATTGTTTCTATAAAAAATTATTTTATATAGAAAATAACTTAGACCCAAGCGCCTGTGAATTTTTTTCAATAAGAAAACTTTGGTTAGGTGGACCCAAGGGCCTGTGAATTTTTTTTATTCAGAAAAAACTTGGACTCAAAGGCTCGTGAACTTTTTTCTATAGGAAAAAAATGGAAGCAAGGGTCTATGAATTTGTTCCTATAGAAAAAACTTTGACCCAAGGGTCTGTATTTTTTTCCCTATAGCTAAAACTTGAACCCAATGGTCTGTGTTAAAAAAAAAACTTTGACCCAAGGGTTTGTGCATTTTTTTCTATAGATAAAAATGGACCCAAGGCTCTGTGAATTTTTTTTTTATACAGAAAACATTTGGATCTAAGAGTCCGTAAATTATATTATATATATAAAAACTCTGACCAAAAGCGTACGTGATTTTTTTTCTATATGAAAAGCTTGGACCCAAAGCTCTGTGAATTTTTTTCTATAAGAAAACCTTGAACCCAAGGCTCTGTGAATTTTTTTCTATAGAAAACACTTGGGCCCAAGGGTTGGTTTCTGTGATTTTTTTCTATAAAAAAATTCGGAACGAATGGTCTGTAAATTGTTTCTATACAAAATTATTTTATATAGAAAATAACTTAGACCCAAGCGCCTGTGAATTTTTTTCAATAAGAAAACTTTGGACCCAAGGCTCGGTGAATTTGTTTCTATAAGGAAAGTCCGACCTGATGGTCTGTGATTCTTGTACTCAAAGAGTTCGTGAATTTTTATCTATAGAAAAAACTTAGACCCAAAGGTCCGCGATTCTTTTCTATAGAAAACACTCAGCGTGTTTATTATTCGCTTTATACAAGATATACGATTTTATCAAAGAGGTTTCAGATTTAATTTTGATCAAATCGGTTATTCAATTCGCTTAAAATTAATTAAATTTACAAGTTTGAAAAATATTAACCCGTTCTAGGGTAGGTACCAGAAGGAAAGGGCCGATAGGTCCCATCTTCAGGTTAGGTACCCGAAGGTGTGGACCAATGGTTCTTATCTTCTGACTTGAGTTTGGCTTGGTAAAAATAGAATGTGCAAAGTTTTATTAAAATTGGAGATTCTTCTCGCCTAATTTGGGCTTGGTGAAGAGAGCAAATAGGATAGTCCGTTCGCATGATATTGTAAAATTATTTTTTTGCACAATTTTGACAATTTTATGGGGGAAGGTACCAGAAGGAGTGGATGATATTCCCCATCTTCGAATTTGATATAAGCTTGGAAGAAATATTACAATGTGTAGAGTTTGAAGGAAATCGGTTTCTCCATTCGAGTGAACATTGCATTGTTTAATATATTTAATTGGTACATCCATATCCATATAACACCTCAGAACATTACATCATCATAACAAAATATCAACATAATTTTATGATTATTTTCCAATAGGAATTCGTACAAAGTTCAAAATTAAAAATTGGAATTAGTCATATAAACTAAAATAGCAACAACAACTAGAATTTAATAAAAAATAAAAGCAAACAAATAATTCCTGTCCGGCAAAGCAACAAAACTATTGAAACCGGCAAACTGATAACGGCTGACAGAGAATGGCGCAGAATTCTTTTAATATTTTTTTTATTTTCATTATCACGCCAATATTTTTAAAAAAATTATGCTTTCAGTAACATTTCAGTAACGATCACGGTCAACAACAGCAGCATTGAGAATGGCTCAGGAAACCAAAACCCAAAAACAACAACAGCAGCCGCAACAAAAATCCACCGGAGATGAGATCACCATGGCACCAGGTGATGAAGAGGAAATTGAAGAAATCGAAATACCTCAAAATAAAACGTTGATGGATAAACTGCAAATGATTTGCGAGAAATTCGCTGCAACTGGTATGGGTCAGGCGATATTGGAGCGCGGTGATCGTGTGTTAAAGGTTTTGGAAGAAACCTCCAAATGGAGTTTGCCACAGGGTGGGTTTTAAGCCGATTATTAAATGTTTAAATAATATATTTGAATGTCTTTTATAGATGACAATGATGCCAAATTGGAACGACCCCTGCCATGGATATTCTTCTTACCCTTAATTGTGTGGTTGCGTGTCATTCGCATGTGGCTCTCCTTTGGTTGCATAATGTTGGGAGGTTCTCCCATGACGGCAGAGAAAATGGTCTATAATATACAAATTAAACGTCGTCGCCTCCGTGCCATACGTGTACCGGCTTTAAGAGCTGCCCGTCGCCTTGAATCAGATTCAAGTGCCATGACAATGTCTGGTAAAAATCAAACTTTTATTGGCAAGATACGTTCATTATTTGGAAGCGCTGTTTGTAAACCGGGCCAACGTCATGATGCTCCGCAGAGACGTGCTTTTGGCACGGGGAATATATCGAAAGTAACGGAAGAAATGTCGGTAAGTTGTACGAGATATTGGTGCAGAGTACGCTTTAAGGGACCAAATCTGAATCGATTTCTACGAAACTTAAGACACGTTATTCTTGATCCAATTCAATACGATATGCAATCGGGAAAACGTAGGGCGTCCGGTGCACCTTTTACATAAAATCGGACGAAATTATATATGGCAGCAATGTTTAAATAAAGCGATTTAAATGAAACATAACACACTTTATTCTAGACTCAATTCTATACGTTATGAAAAATTTCGTTTCAATCGGACAAATCTCGATAATTTTGTGCACCATTTATAAAAATCGGACGAAAATATATATGGGAGCAAAATCTGAACCGAATTCAATGAAACTTAACACACATTATCCTATGGTCAACTTTATACGTTATGCCAAATTTCTTCTCGATTACATAAAATCGGAAGAAAATATATATGGGAGCTATATCTAAATCTCAACCGATTTTCACGAAACTTAGCGCACATCAATCTAGGCTTAATTCAATACGATATGCCAAATTATATTCACGAAACTTAACACACATCATTCAAGACTCATTTCAGTACATTTTGCCAAATTTCGTTCAAATCGAAATATATATAGGGACTTTGGTGCACCATTTACATAAAATCAAAGGAAAATATGTATAGGAGCTATATCTAAATCTGAACCGATTTTCCGAAACTTAACACACAACATTCCAGGCTTAATTCAGTACGCTATGCCAATTGTCGTGCAAATCGTATGATATCTAGGGACTTTAGCGCACCATTTACACAAAATCGGACGAAAATATATGTGGGAGCTATATCTACATCTGAACCGATTTTCCCAATTTCAATAGGATTCGTCCTTGGGCCGAATAAATGAGCTGTGCCAAATTTCATCCAATTCGGATAATAAATGCAATACGATTTAACATGGACAGACAGACGGACGGTCGGACGGACGGACATGCATAAATCGTCTCAGGACGTGATTCTATACATATTCTCAAAAGGAATCATGGGTCTATCTCCGTTCCTTTTGCCTGTTTCAAACATATACACAAAGACATAATATCTGTATCACCGTGTGGTGAAGGGTATAAAAATCAATATCCTTCTCTAATATCAATATTAATTATACCTACCCTTAGGGTGAACGTTCCGTAAAGCGACCACGAGATGATGACAATGCCGATCTTAATATGACCGTTGATCAAATGCTTGAAAAATATGCCAATGAAGATTCTGAAGATGATTCCGATTATGTGCCAAATGAAGAAGAAGACAGTTCATCATCGTCATCAAGTGAAAGTATTTCCAGTGCTGAAGCTGCAGATTTATCCAAATCTGAGGTACACAAAAAAAACCAATTTAAATCATAAATATCTAACTATCATTAGTATAAAATTATCCTGCTTCCAGAAATCTGAAATGACTTCTGCACTAGATCACAGTGTGGTAGAGGTCAAAGAAAACGGTGGTCCCAAACATAGGCCAATGCCTAAACCGATTGCCGATATCAAACTGGAACCCATATCAGATGCTGATAGTGGTAGTGAAGTGGCAAAGACACCGAAACCCGATAGTGGATCTCAGACCAAAAGCACAACAGAAGTCGGTAATGGTTTTTAGAATTATAACAAAATTTCAGTGATTTTTTTTTCTTTTCGTTTCTTATACATACATATATACATATACACACATAAATATAAGCATGGAATTTCTTTATTTGAACAACATTTGAAGTGAAAAATATTTTTTCTATAAGAAAATAAAAACAATTGAATTATGAAATAATTTTAATGAAATAATGATTAAGTCCAGTCATGCATTCCCAATTTTCCTACCAAATTTTCAAAAAAAAAAAATCTAAATTCTAAAAATCATATCCTTTATTTGGCCTTTGGTTTCTATATCTATATCCCTTTCTCCCCCCTCACCTAATGAATATTTTGACAGCCACAGTTGAAAAAGAACAACAGCAGCAACAACCACAAAAGGAACAACAGCAAAAGGATATCTCCACACCAAAATCCCAACCACACACAAAACAACAATTAAGTGTTACTGAAGATCCTGTAGCTAAGCAAAAATCTACACCAGGTCATGAATCAGCAGCCTCCTTGAAACCCGTTTTAGGTGCTAAAACCGCAGCTGGTGAGTTTAATTTTATAAATTTATTTAAATGAATTTTCGTTTAAAATGATTTTGTGATTTGATTTTTATGTCCCAGCACCCCAACAATCGTCACGCCCCAACCCAGCACCTCTAGAAAAACATTATCGAACGATTACAACGGAAACATCCATAACCGAATATGATTGGTCCATAGTTGTAAAAACCGAAATTACCCATCGAAAAGCATCTCCGGTATATCGCAGATCCTCTCCAATACCAATTCCAAAAGCCTCGTCTTCCAACTTCCCATTAACACCCGCCTCATCAACCGAGGATATTTTTTACAGTCCTATTGGTTTGTTCAAATGATTTCAAAAATTCACCCTCATACACTTCACACATCTCCATCCCCTCAAAAGCATAGCAAAGCACACACTTCTATAACCAAAAAAAATACTTCGGAAAATAAACCTATTTTTTCCAAATTGTGCTGAGCTCTCCTTCGGCTATATTTAGCCGAAAAAGTCCTCTCATTTCTTTACGGGTTTAACCCACTTTTATGACACTTTCTACTTAAAAGGAATACAAAATATTTGTCAGAGGCTAATATCCAGGTTGACATACATCCATGTAGAATATATTCTCTCTTAGCCAGCATATCAAGGTCTCAGTTAATTTTCCGTATATTCCAAGACCACTTTTCATCCTTTTCGAACATAGTTTACATAATAAATTATTTGGCTTAAATATTTCGAATAACGGTAGTCTTTTTCGATTTCACTCATTATCATTAATACATTTAATCATAACACAAGCATCTCATTTAACATACATTTACTTACTTTGATCATCCGAAATTATTTGTTCTCCTTCCTTCAGGTTCTCCACAGGACTTCCATTCCATCTTTCATCCGGCACCAATAGTTAAAGTCACTCAGGCAGAAGGTAAGCTGAGCCTTTTCATTAAAAATCGAATGTTTATAAATTTTGTTTTGTGTTTCAGCCCACCACTCAACGCCCAAGGAGGCTGATGATCGCAACGATAGCTCCGCTCCCGAAACCCCCGAAACTCAACAAAAGAAACAGCAAAATAAGCAACATCATCAACAGCAGCACCACCACCACAACAATAAGAATCGTAATAGAAATCGTCGCTGAAGAAATCTGTGGCTATTTTTTATTTCGTTTTTTTTAAGTCCTTTTTCCCACCCCCAATTTTCGTTAGTCCTTAATTTATTTCCAGTAAAATATTTTCGATTTTTGTTAAATGAAAGAATTTTGTTATATATAATTGAATTTTTAATAAAAACAAATATTATAAATCTTTCTTTAAAATTAAATCAAACTAGGGATGGTACTGTCATATGGGACCAATTCCAAAACGACAATAGTGTCTGCGATGGATATTCAAGGTATAGACTTGTTATTACAGGCTATATGGAAGCAGTAAGGAAAGTAGTATAGTCGGACTGGGCCGACTATATAATACCCTCCAACACTTTGGGTATATTCCAAGAAACATTGGCATGAAATTGATGGAAGGAACATTGACATGATCTTTATCTATAAGTAAATCGACTAACATCAATCCCAACACATGTCATTTTGCAACCTATCCTAATTTTGTAAATAGATTTACAGCAAATTTTACAGACGATATTTGGTATGCTACATATGCTGTTTAAAATGTAATATCAATCCGGTACCCAGTTATTATTTGGTGTACAATAAACACGAATATGTCGAAATTATATATGGAAGCTAAGCTATATCTAATTCAGAACCGATTTCAAGGCAACTTGCCAGAAATTAATTTATTTTTATCTCAGTGCGTTGTGTCAATCGTCCTAGCTTTGGGTCTTAAGTGCATTATTTACTTAAAATAGGACCAAAGTATATATAGGAGCAGTATGTAAATCTGAACCGATTTCAAGATAACTTGATACACGAAAGTTATAGTAACTTCAGTACATTGTACATTGTGTGGCAGACGGACAAACTTTTAGTCTTTAGTGCACAATTTACATTAAATCGGACGAAAATATATTCATGGACGAAGTCAATGTGTTCAAAACTGATTTTCACGAAATTCAACACACATCGTTCCGGACTCACTTCAGTACGCTATGCAAAATTTCGTGCAAATCGAAGGATATATAGGGACTTTGGTGCACTATTTACATAAAATCGGACGAAAATATATATGGGAGCTATATCGAAATCTGAACAGATTTTCACGAAATTTAACACACATCGTTCCGGACTCACTTCAGTACGCTATGCATAATTTCGTGCAAATCGAAGGATATATAGGGACTTGTGTGCACTATTAACCAAAAATCGGACGAAAATATATATGGGAGCTATATCTAAATCTGAACAGGTTTTCACGAAATTTAACACGAATCGTTCTAGACTTAATTCAGTACGCTATGGAAATTTTCGTGCAAATCGAAGGATATATAGGGACTTTGGCGCACTACTTACTTAAAATCGGACGTAAATATATATGGGAGCTATATCTAAATCTTAACAGATTTTCACAAAACTTAACACACGTCATTATACACCCAATTCAGTACGCTGTGCCAAATTTCGTGCAAATCGAAAGATATATAGGGACATTGGTGCATCATTTACATAAAATCGGATAAAATATATATGGGAGCTATATCTATATCTGAACCGATTTTCTCCAATTTCAATAGGGTTCGTCCTTGGGTCAATCAAGTGACCTGTGCCAAATTTCATCCAAATCGGATCATAAATGCGACCTGTACTTTGTTAACAAAAATACATGACGGACGGACAGACGGACATGCATAAATCGACTCAGAAAGTGATTCTATGCATATTCTCAAAAGGAACCATGCCTGTTACAAACATATGCACACCTTTCATATGATACCACTTACATTTAAATATCTGTAATACGAAAAAAGATATGGCGAAAATAAATAAGGTATGCATATTATAAAATCGTGTCGCCAGTTCCATCTATTGATGGACACGATTCAAATCAGACACATCAGGCTTATATTTTTTAGGGGATAATGACATCTCTATAATATGATATAAAAGCGTAAAAGTTTACTTCACTATAATCAACAGAAACAGAATCTATAAAACTATCTTTCATATGACACCAATTCAAATGTATGAAAATTAAATTTTGGATGATCGGTTTTTTGATCTACCCATTCAATAGATGTCTCTGGCATGTAAGTGTTTACCTGGATATTTGAAAATAAACCGTATGGAAATATCAAAAGTCGGACGGGACGACAATACTATGATACCCTTTACCACTCTTAGTACATACAAGAGATGCTAATATATGGATTCTTTATAGTACCATTTGTAGGAAATGTGGCAAAATTATGAATGGGAGCTATATGTAAATCAGGACCTAATCAAACAAACGTGACATACGTCATTTAGTATGCAGCTCATTGCGCTGTCCTCGTCCCAATCGTTAGTTATTTGGTATACTATAGTACAAAATGAAAAAATTGCTGTTGCAAACATAAATTTACTGTGAAAAAAATTCATTCCGGGGGAGACCCGCCCCCCCCCTGCGTACGTCCCTGCCGTGCACCACAGTGCGGGAAGGGTATACCAAAGTATAAATATCTTAAAATATCACAAATAAGCAAAATTCAAAAGTTACCAACATCTTTTAATTTTAGCGTTTTTTAGTCAAACAAGTTATTAATATCTTTTAAACTGTCTTGAATAGTTCTAGATACATATATATTTTTAAAAATCCACACAGTCAGATGGATTCGAAAAGAAGCAAAAAAAAAAAGAATTTTAAATTTCTTCACATAAGACGAAGTTTATTCGCCTTTATACAAATACTACCGCCATCTACATGTTAACATAATTGCTAACTTGTCGGTGGAGTAGTATTTTGGTGTACTGGTTGGCAACGCAACATTATGGTTTGATAAGTATGTACAAAGGCAAAGGAACCACAAAGACTCGACAAAAAGCATATTGGCAAAATAGTTTATGAAAAAATATCCAGGGGGAATCAGGCATAACAGAGGCATGTTAACAATAGAAACGCAAATACGCGATAATGTGTATAAAAAATGTAAATAAAATTAGAGATCCATACTCAAAAAATGCATTTTTATTTTATAAGCTTAAGATATAGTACTAAAAACGTTTAATAGTGTTCTCTATGTTGTTATGATATCGTAACAACAGAGGCAAAGCCATCTGTTGGAAATTGTTTACGTATCAATTGTCGTATCTTTACAGTTTTATGTCTTTGGTATATAGTTCCGCTGTAACACATTAGCGAAGACGACATCCGCAAAGTCTGGGCACAATCCTACACCCTGTGGTTGAAACAAAATTAAATTAATCAAACATAATAAAAATGTAGCACCCATTTAATTGCCTGTTACTGTTAAGATTTTATTCAAAAGATGTCGCCGCCATAAAATTCTAAGGCATGAATAGAAATGGGCAGTGGGTAAATACCCATTTGCGGGTATTTATTTGGGTATTTACTATATTGAATCGGTAATACAACATCTTACACCCTATTTCCGGGTATCTGTTATCAAATCGATTTAGAATGGATAGTTTTACGATACTTTAAATACGTGGGTAAATACTTGGGTTTTTACCCAAAAATTGGGTATAAAATCATTAACTGCCGAACCACATGACATAGGCGGCCAAAATTTTGCATACATGTTTTTAATGTTAAAGCAAATATAGAAATCCAAAATGGGGTCCCTGGGTTCAAGTTTTGATATAGCCCGATTTCTCCCGATTTAAGGTATTTTTTGTCAATTAGACACATTTTACAACCAAATTGGCTGTAATTTGGCACAAAGTGTTCTGCTTGGGTACCAAATGTCCATGCAAAAATGTATGTATGTAGGTCCACGTTTACTGGTAGCCCCGATACAAATGTACAATATTTTGAGTATTTATCAAAAAATTGGGTATAAACTCAATAACTGTAGAACCAATTAAGGTAGGCGGCCAAAATTTGGCTCAGATGATTTTTATATCAAAGCAAATATTTATATAAATATTTATAGCCCCCATGTAACCGTATCTCTCGATTTAAAGTATTTTTTCTCTACTAGACTCATTTTACGACCAAAGTGGTTATAATTTTGCATATTGAGGTTTTTTTGCACAATATATTCATGCGAAATGTGGGTTTTGTCACAAATTGTTTAAATATTAACATTATTTTCTGTTTGGAAAATGGGGTCTTCAAAACACACGTCAAGTGGTTCAAGTGGAATTTATAAATATATATCGGGGTCGTATCGCTGGTAACGTAAGAACTAAGAATTGTCACAAGAGACACTTGGGTTTGAAAGGTTTTTTGTAAAGAAGCTATTAATAGCTTCTGGGGAGAATATCCCAACAAAAAACTAAGGGAACTGATGAGGATCAGTGGCGAGATCCGAAACTATAGTCTTCCCTGCCTTACCCCTCGGCGGACAATGCCATACATTCCCCACTAGTAAAAAGTTGTTTGTTATAAAAACAACAAACTGGGATTAAGCCTGACTATTTTGCAAAAACAAAATACAAATGGTATCCCAAATAACCCGCCAACACTACTGAATATATATAAATATCCAAAATCAGGACCATTATATAGGACAGAACCAGACAGACCATTATATAGGACAATGCAAAATTTTGGCCGTCTATGTAAAGTGGTTCGGCAGTTAATGAGTCTATACCCAATTTTTGGGTAAAAACTCGGGTATTTACCCAAGTATTTACCCACGTCTTTAAAGTATCGTAAAACTATCCATTCAAAATCGATTTGATAATAGAAACCCGGAAATAGGGTGTAAGATGTTGTATTACCGATTCAATATAGTAAATACCCAAATAAATACCCGCAAATGGGTATTTTCCCGGTATTTACCCACCCCTTGGGCATTTACCCGGTAAATACCATCTCTAGGCATGAATAATCAAGGAAACAAATAATTATAGCCTTGAACTTATACACCTAATTAGCACATGAAGGGAACTTTTGATTAACCCTCGATTCGTTTGGAATATTTTTAAATAATTTTTTATTCAAAACGAAAATAGAAAATAATCATTGGAAATTTGTGAAATATAACGGCATTTAGGAAACAAGACAACTTTTGAAAGGG